TCAATAGATAATATATAATTAAAACCAATATTATATAAATTTTTAGAAAAATATTTTAATTCTTTAAAAAAATAAATAAAAAGCAACTTTTTAGTTAAAAAATTTTAAACGTTATAAAAAAAATACCCTACGATTTAAGGGATAATAACAATTTTACAAACAAAAAAATTTTTAATTCAGCAAATATTTCATTGTTTTAAATAGGCATTAGCCATTTAATATTTCTAACAATAATACTCACTAGATAGCAATGTATATTAGTTATAAAAGTTACAATAGGTTACAATTATTTACTTTTTATGTAAAAGATTATTAATATAATGACTATAAACAATTTGTTTAATAAAGATCCTATATTTAATATCTATTTGCAATAACAAAAAAATTATATTTCTTCAAAAGAGATATAATTAATCTTTAAAATTTTATATACTAAATAATTTAGAAATCTATTTTTAGTTAAAAAGATATATATTTGAGTATTTATATAATAAGTATTTGTGTTTTGATATTTGTTTGATAAAGACATGTATTTTACTATATTATTAGATTATATATATATTGATATTTTATTGTTAAGGAGATATGTGTTTTGATATTTGTATAATAAGTACTTATATTTTGATATTTGTTTAGTAGAGATACATATTTTATTATATTATTATGACTATATATGTTTTGATATTTTATTGTTAAGGAGACATGTATTTTTTCTTTGCTTTTGTTAATAAGACTATTATAATAATATATATAGTATTTTTTGTTTATTTACTTGTTTGTTGATATATTTTAACTAGAAATGAGTTTGAATTATATTTGCATTATTGCTAATCTTTTAATAAAGATAAATTAAATCTGATTTTTTCTGACTCCAAGATAAAACTAATTATATAACTAAGGATGGGTTCCTAAATTAGTTAACATATAAAATTTTGTAAATCAATTATGTTTCTTTTGAAGAGACATAATTATTTATTCATTATTTTAATAGGGACATAATTCAAAAAAAACTTGGATCAAGTGATCTAAATTGCAAAAACCTTTATAAATAGTTTTTTTTTAATCTTATATTTAAAAAAAAACTTTTTTAATAATGAAAGATATTTGAATTATATCTTCACCTTTAATTTAGAGACTTATCTTTATATATAAAAGTATGGTTTATATTGTAATTGTTATAAGAATCTGTTTTTTTCATAATAAAGAAAAAGTCTTCATATTTTTCTATTCTTGTATTAATATGTGAGATTGCTTGATTTATCAAATATAATTTGACTAATACAAGATCTTATTTATATCTAGGGAGGTATCTAATCTGATACACAACCGACTAACAGCTTGTAAAGTACAATGCTAACTTTCTTCTTTAATTTTACTGTAAATAGTATTCTTTGTATTTTTTTTTTTCAGTGAAAAATGATAAGTATCTGTTTGTTTATATAAAAATAAAACAGTTAATATTTAATTACTGATATATACTTGCTATATGTTCTCTTTTATTTTTTAAAAAAAGTATACATAGTTTTTTTCTTGAGAAAGAAGTGTTTTTGAAAGGTTCCTTAGGTGTTTTTGAGTATTACCAAAAAGATTTTTGGAAGTTTTTTTTTTATATGGTTTAGCTTTAATATAAATTTCAATATATTAAATATATATGTAATGGAATTAAATTCAGATATTTTTCAAAAATCATATTATGTTGAAATTACAATATAATAAATAATTGAGAATTATATTTAATTAAAAATAGTATTATTGATCAAATTTCCTTTTATAATAACAAGAAAACATGTAAAGTATTGAATTTCATACTATTGTTTTTATAAATTAATAAACATAGTAGTTTACAATTTGATTAAAGAAAAAAATTATTTGTAATTTGACTTTTTAATATTTGAACTATGTAAAAAATTAAATGTAAATATTAAAAAAATATTATTTTAATAAAAGTGCCATTTTTTTTGCCACCACTGTATATAAAAAAAATATTTTGTAGTTTATTACAAACATAATTCGGGACATAGCACGTAATATTTTATTCTAACACCTAATCCTCTTTTAGAATCAAAAATGTCCATATCGGTGTGAACAAATTCCGTAACAGTCGTGAGTTTTACTCAGAAGCTGATTAAACTGGGGTGTGCCAAAAGTATCCCGTTTGAATTTTGCCTTTGCTAATGGTAAACTTGGACTACAGTTCTTATCATGCAAGGTATCATATGATTTTTGAAGAATCTCACGTATTCCTAAAAGAATTTCTATCTCATTAACAAAATAGATCATATCTTTTACAGATGTCGGAACTGAAACTTGACCAACGTGAATCATAAAATATATTCCTTGAATAAGGTCTGTTATATAAAAGTCGATAATATTATCTACATAATAAAATGCCAAAATGTGATTAAAAGAAACTTCATGAGGAAAATGAATATTATATTGTTTTGCTCACCAACACATTGAAAACCTATAATGTTAATATCAGCGCCTTTATCAATTGCAGAATCCATACAGTCTTTCATTAAAACACCAAGCATAATAAGATCTTTGCAATTCTTGTACACGTTATCTTTTTGTGATGGAGCACTGACTTCACCTATAAATATAGCGGAATCTGTTTGGAGTTGATAAATAGTTAAGATTATAAAACCTGATTGTTTGAATCAGCCTTCGTGCTTTCTTGACTTACTTTCTTTCGGATTTATGTTGGGCCATTGAACGATGTGTTTGTCGGGATTATGAAATGTACCTCTCATAATATTGTCCAAATAATTTATAATAAATGTTATTTCGTTGGGTTCATTTCTAATTTTCTCAATAGGTAACGTTTCCAGGTAGTTCAAAATCACAGAACCCAGGTTTTCCCTTAAGTTTCGATCCCTTGCAAGTTCTGTGTAGAACCAATCTACGGCACATTCACGTGATATTTTTGTCGCTTTCTTGATTGCCTCTTGGAATTTTAGTTCCCAGTCTGGGTTTAATGTTGTGCCCTGGACCGGCTTTACTTTTAGATGTATTTTATCAACCAAACGGGAACCAAATATGTTGATCATTGTTTTTGAATGAGAGTTTGGTATAAGCAAAAAAATCGACGATAACGACAGTATTTCATGAACGTTTGATTCAACAAATAAACCTCCGTCCTTTGCAATTCTTACTGACTCGTTCTGATAATTCCTGAATAATTGGGACACATTTGTCTCTCCTATTTTGTAATCATCTGTTGGGTCACCACTCTTAAAGCATAAATCATCGACATCATCGATTTTCAAGATGCCAGTATCGAAATCATCCTCCTCAAAGCTAGCTGACTCCTCTTGATCATCGAATTTCTAAATAATGAAAAAATAAACATGTCAATAAATCATTGTTGCCTAAGAAATTAATTAAAACTCGATCTCATCACTCAACCTCTATATAAATACAGCTTATATCATCATATTTAGATGAATAACTTTGTCTATTTTTTTTCTGTTTTGAGATAATAATAAAAATAACAAAAAAATATAAACCTGCATTTCTTCTCGGTATCTTATTTTTTTGGATAATTCTTCATCTGACTGATATTCCTTATCATCCTTAGTATGCAATAGAGCATTTAGTTAATGAGTATTCATTATGTAGTGATATTTTCGTCAGTCACTAGGTTGCTTTTGTGGGCACGAACAAACACTCTTGCCAAATAGCTCAAACGGTCAATCTTGCAAGGAATCACCCTTAGGTGATCTCACAAATGTAACCAAAAGATTAAAAATACGAGATTCTTTATAGGGTACATAACCAACTCTTCCTATAGAATCAGTAGGTCCTTATTTAAAGAAACTCCTTTCGATTACTTTTTGTGGGCACAGAATGAACCATCATTGCCAAATAGCTTAAGCGATTGAACTGCAATAAATCACCCTTGGTAATCTCACAAAGGCAACCCAATGCAGCGAAACCTTCTCAAGTACACCCCCCGGGATTAATAGATGTACTTATGGAGGTTTCGCTGTTCTAATCAAAGATATACCTACAAGTTGGCGTCGTTTATTGCGTCTAATATTTAGAGAATGGCCGAGTCGTATACCTCTCATACTTTTACGGAAGAATACAATTTAATACCTAATATATCCGACGCGAGATAAAAGTTTGTTTTGAATTTTCATGTTACACCTAAACTTGCGGTCGATTGGCTGGATAAATATTACGCGAATATGAAGTCAGAATGTTACTGTAATTATACTGTGATATAAAAAAAATAAAAAGAAAAAAAACTCCTTCCAAACGCCTAAAAATTTCCTTTTTAGGAAACTTTTGAGTTGTTTACTTTTTTTCTTTGCTCTTTTTTTCTTATTTTTTTTTTCTGTCCTTTTCTTTTTGTTTTATAAATCTTTTTTTCAACTTTTTTTTTTTTGTTTTTTTTTTTTGTGCTGAAGTTAGATTTTTCCTTTTTTTTGAAGATTTTTTTTCTTAAGCCTTTCTTTCTTTTTGAAATATTATTTTATTTCATTACTCTAGAACTATTAAAAAGTAACAACTTTTCTCAAGACATAGGTTTTGGAAAATTTTTCTCTTTTATAATTATCAAAAAAGAATGAATAATTTATTTTTTTCAAAAGATTAACATGTTATTATTATTGAATTTGGTATTGTTTACTAATTAATAATTAGATTAAATATATTTAAGAAATTATTGTATAACTATTATTATTTGAAATTTCAAGAAGTTGTATTTCACAATATTTAAATAAAATAATAATTAACATCAATACAGTTAATATTGCAAGTGTTATATTAATGATTGAAAAATCTAGTAAGGTAATATATAAAGATTAGGATTTTAGTTATTTTTGTAAATGGGCTAATAATAACAATGCAAGTTTTTCAAATACTTTTTGACAATAAAAATTTATTGTATAAAATTAGATATAAGAAATTTTAATCTTATTTTATGTTAAAATACTTTCTTAACAAATTTATATTCTATATTCAAATATTTTTTTTATTTTTTTTTTAAGATTCCTAATTATACTACTTTAATATCACTTTGATATTTCTTTGATAATTAAATTTACTATAAAATTATATGAGTAATTCATAATTCATATATTAAATTTACTATAGATTAATACTATTTGAATATTAATTCAATATTAGTTTAATACTTTTCAGAGCTTTACTTTTTTTGCCTTATATTTAAGTTAAGTTTTTTTTAAATACTTAAAATAATAAAACTTTATTGAGTATGTTTTTTGAAAAGTGTTTATAAATTTAGCAAATATAATAATAATATTGGAAATAATTTTTATGATATTAAAGGGATATAAATTGCAAAAGAATAAAAGAATAAAAGTATACTACTAGAAATCTTTTCCTATGCAATTAAAGAATAGACAAGACTTTCAAACTTAAATAGATTTTAATCAAAGGTTTTATCTTATTGTATCAGTTGTCTTTAGTGTTCTTGTATTTCTAAGTTGAATCTTATTTGCAATAAAGAGTGTAAAAAATTTTTCTTTAACTAAAGTTACTATAAAAAAAATTTTTTTAAAAAAATAATTGTAATTAGAAAAGAGTTTTTTTATTATATAATTATTATTATAATTAATTGAAAATAGTTATTATATATTAAACTTAAAAGACCTGTAGGTCTATAGCACAATTATTAATGCTTTACAAGTCAGATTACAAGATATTAATTCAATTCTAGGTAAAAACAGTTGAACAAATTAATATGATATCTGATATCATAATCTGATATACAGTATATTGTTTTTTATAAGAAGCCAATTCACATGTTGATACAGTAGATATTAAGATTATAATCTTTCAAATAAGAAGTAGTAATGTAATAATTATCTGGTTGGCATTATAATAATTATTGTTAAGCTTGATACATTTTCCAATTTCTATAAAAAATCTTTTTTCTATATATGTTGCTAAAATTCATAAATCCTTAATGCAATTAATGCAATTAATGTAATTATTTGATGCAATTAATTGAGTTACTATTAAAACATATAAATAATTGAGTCATAATACAATTATTTTTAAGAATTTTGAAAATTGAGTCAACAGCAAATAATTTATATTGCATGATACTTTTTTTCTTTTTATAGTTTATAAAATTATAATAAAAAATGATTTTTCAGAATCTAATTAGAGTTATAAAATTTTTTCTTGCTAGATATAATTAGTTCACAGTTAATTATATTAGAATATTATTCTTTGAGTTTCTATTTATCAAACAATAAATGAAACTAGAAAATGTATATTTTAATATATTAGTTTATTATCTATATTATTAGAGTTTTAATATTGATAATATAGAAGAATTGTAAAGCAATAAGTTGATTGATAAATGAAATAATCTATTTTAGATAATTCTACTTGGAAAAAAAATGGTAAAAAATTTGTATAAAACAAATTTGTACATACCTAACAATAAAAATCTTGTAAAGCAAATCAAAAAAATATAAAAAAAATTGATAAACATTATTACTTTATTAATTATAAAATTATTTAAAAATTATTGTATATATAAAGAAAGTAACAATAAAAAATAATTAGGGAACTTTTTCTACTGATCCTCTTGTCAACACAAAAACAGATGTTCCAAAGAAATTTTATATTTCTTTGTAATATAGTCTATACACTTTCCTTAATAACATCAATATTTAGAGGCTATAGCCTCTTCCCTCTTGTTTTTTTTTTTCTTTGATATAAACTTCCTGTATTTCAGCAAGTAAATACAAGAAAAACTTATTTACAAAGTCAAAGGCAAGAACACTTTGTTAGAAAAAAAAACTTGTAGAAAAAACACTCTTCTCTTTTCTTCTAGAGATTTAAGACTCCAGAAAAGATTGATATAGGCTTTTGAAACTCTTCTCTTATTTTTCTCAAGTCTCTCTTCTATCCTTTCAAGCATGTATACTTTTTTCTGGTTTTTGGGGGGAATTTTGCCTGCCTCAGTTTGACTCTGAATTTTTGATTACACTGGAACTTCTGAATGATGATTGGCTAGAAATTTGGACTAGTTGATCTATATATAGCAAGAAATATAAACAAGACATGTAACACCCACATGTCCTATCTTGTACAACAATAAACCTGATGATGCCATTGAACACAGTGAAAAGAGTAAGATAACGAGGTGTTCATTTTGTTAAGATGTGTTATGGTGCTTCATTTCCTCTCTTGGACTGGTTTCTTTTCTCTTCAAGATTAAAAGAAGTTTTATTTCAATTCAGTAACAAGCTTTCTCTATTGTTAATTATCCCGAAAATGTTTGAAGAAAGGAGTCTTGAAACTATTCACTGGTTGAATAAAGCTATAAATCCTTGAGGATTTGGCTGAAAGAGAAATTGCCAATTAAAACACCAACTCTCTTCAAGGTTAGAAGTCTTCAAGTATAAAGTTTCAAGAAATACTCTCTTGGAAGTGTCTTTAAATGTTCTTGGTCAACAATGAAATAGCAGAAATTAGATAGTTCACCCAGCTGCAGATAGTGATAAAGGATTTATCCTGATGGATTGAAGTTGACACTGGAGGGTTTTTATTTACCAGAACAAACTCTTCAATTACTCTTTCTTATTCCCTTTTTTTTCTTAAAAAATAAAAAATTTTTTTATCTCTTAGAACTACAGGATCATTCAGTGTTATAGTCTGAATATAGGCTGGTTGAGATCTTTCAAGGCATAGTCTTTGATGTCTAGTCTTGAAAAGGAACAACTTCTTTATTTCTGATGGTCATATTTAGAGAGTTTAGATTTAGAAAGTCTAAGATAGTTAATACCATGCAGTAATAGCTTAATGAACATATTTCCTTGTAGTGAAATAGTTAGTAAATAGCTAAATCATGTAGACAACACAGTGGTATTGGTATTAAGGATTCAAGGATCATGTACAAATTTAAATTTATTGACAGGTGTTCTGCAAATTATATGATAGTTTAGCTTTAGTATAGTATTATATATATTATACTACTGTTTTTCAAATTGGATAAATAAATGCAACTCTTGCAGTCTAATTAGAAACAAATATATATATATATATATAAAGAAAGTAACAATATTTTTTATATAACTTGTTAAATTAACAAGTCTTGTCTATATAAATTATCTAAGCAAAAAAAAAACAAATATTAAAACTATTATATATTATTATAATAAAATATAACAAGTCTGTTGCTTTTGTTTGTTCTATGTTATGTGACAATAAGAAATGATTATTCTCAAAAGAGATATATATATTTAGCTTAAGTTTGATAATAACACAGATTGATCCATTAATCTTGCATCACAAATAGTAACCTTCTATATGATTACTTCTTGATTAATAATCTTTTTAAAATAAATAGACTTGTTAATATGTAGTACTTATTTTCCTTGCCTCTTATATTTTTATATTATCATCTTACTTTTATACTTTTTATGTCTTATAATTTATACAATCTTATACTTGATAATTACTTGCCATTATTTGTTATACTAGATATATAATTCAAAATACTAGAAAATACTAGAAATACTTGGATATTTTATTATATTTCTTTTTATATGTTTTTCTCATTTTTGTCTATTATTTATATAGATTATTTTTATCTTGATAATATTTAAGACAATAAAATTACTTATTTAGAAATAGAATAAATATTATTAAAGTTAATTATTAAATTTTGAAATATAAAATAGAATTGTAATTATTATTAATAAGTTTATTTATAGCAAGTAATAGATAATTCACAATTAAAATAAAAAAAAAACTTTTTTCCATTCCCTCTTCTGCACTTGAAAATTTCTTTTTTAGGAAATTTTTGAGTTGTTTACTCTTTTTTCTTTACTCTTTCCTTTTTCCTTTCCTTTATTTCTCCTTTCCTATACCTTTTTATTTCCCTTCCCTATTTTTACCCCTTCTTGCTATAGACTCTTTTATATAAAACTTACACCTTCTCTTTCTTTTTCCCCTTTCCTGCTGAAGTTAAGTTTTTTCTTCTTCTTAAAGATTTTTTTTCTATGCCTCTTTTTTTTTTATAAACTTGTTCTTCATAACATCAACTCTCTGGCCAGTTAGCTCCCTTTTCTCAAGACCATAT